CCTGAATCTTGATCCTTTGTCACACTCAGGAGCTCTCTCTCAATGCCCCTTTCTTTTCTTTCCTGTCTCAGCCTCCTCATTTCCCCTGCCTCTTTAGCCTGCTCAAGGAGATTAACCAAGGAAGACAGTATTTTCCAAATGCTTTGACATCCACTCTCCACATGAGTTTCTGCTCTCTCCACCTCATTAGAAGAAGTGCCCTCACTAATGACTGAGGAGAAGATTCTTAGGAAACAATCTCTTTGTCAGAGTGCTGGATCACCACATGCCAGATTGAATCCTACTGACTGTGACAGAGTGCCTCTTTTCTGTGGTCACGTGGCAGCAAGCCACGAAAGGATTAGTGAGCAGGAAGAAAAAGTGAAAATACAATGTGCCCCTGGACAGGGAGAATGACATGCTGAAGCTGTTATCAGATGTACTCTAAATAGAACTAATGGATAGTCCAGAGTTCTACAATAATAGTAAATAATCCAGAATAAAAAGGAACCCAAGTGTCTAAGGGAGAAATGTGATTCTGTTCTGCCCAAATAGACAATCTTTTCTACTTAGCTTCATGTATCAATTTTGTGGTGTCTGCTTTGGATCAAAATGCTGATACTAGCAGAACAGCTCCTTTTCACTACAATCAACCAGCCAGAATCCATGCTAAGAGATGCAGTGAAGCTGGTTTGGACTGAAGGATCTGTCCATTGTTCTGGGAAATAGTGTGCAGGATCTGAGGTAACGTTACTGATAGTCGGATAGATAGCTCAGAAGATACCAAGATTGCCATCTGGATCATTAACTATCTTGCCTGAGCTTTCTCAATATTAGAAGGATTGGTGAAGAAAGTATCTAATTGAGAGCCAGGGCTCACACGTGCATGCATACACAACCCCTCCCCCGAACAGAAATTTGGACAATATTTATTTCTGTTGCAAATAAATCCATGATTGGTTGACCCTATTTGCAAAAACATGAATGACTTGAGTCCTTGATTCCCATGTGATTGCATATGGACAATAGCTTGCTCAGGTAGTCTGCTAGGGTGTTTTGTAATCCTAGAAGGTTCAGAGCTACTGAAGTGATTTGATGCCCACTGCATCAATTTGACAGCTGAATCACTTCTTGGCAAAGGGTGGACAACTGGACTCCTCAAGTGGTGGTGCTGATTTTACCTGGGTCACAGGGAACTCCCTCAACTGTACTGTGGAAATACTCGGTGCCTAAGTCGAGCTAGTGGCCAGTACGAAGGAGCGTATCCTCACATAACAGTAGTGACTCAGGAAGTATCGTTCCATGAGATCACTCAATACCGTGAACTCAGAGGCAAGAAGGTTGGTATCCTGAGCAGGACACTAGATATTAATGGCACCAGGGTGGAAGATGCCAATACTGAAAAGATTGGTTCTGGTACCGAGAGCACCAATTATGGTATCGCAATTTCAGTAGAGACAGGCTGAAACTGTTCCTTAGACAGTACCACAACTCAGTCACTGGAGTCTGAGGATAGCAGACAGACCCATTTTGGGATACATGCTATTCTTGGGGTGAAATAAAAGACTAGCGGCACAGCTGTGTCTGGCCTAGGTCAGCTGACTTGGGCTGGTAAGGCTCGGGCTGCAGGGCTAAAAACTGCTGTGTAGATGTTCAGGCTTAGGCTGGAGCCCAAGCTCTGGGACCCTCCTCCCTCACAGGGTCCCAGAGCTCAGGCTCCAGCCCAAGGCTAAACATCTATATAGCAAATTTACAGCTCCACAGCTGGAGTCACCTGACCCAGGCCAGCCACGGGGGTTTAACTGCTGTGTAGATGTACCCTTAGAGGCAGTAAAATACGGTGATTTGAGCCTCTTTTTCTTAGCAGCTCCCTTAGAAGGTGACCTCTTTCTATGCTTTCCCAGAACAGTGCTTTCTCATACCCTTCTCAGTAGCCGACAACAAAGACCCGAAGGCAGGAACAGTGGATAGTCTTTTCAGGAGCAGGAGCCTGGGTGCTAGCAGTGGAACAAGAGCTTACCAAAACACGTTCAGAGGAAACCTGCTCTATTCCACAAGGGTTTTGTTTATCCAGATCAAAAACAGGTCTTACTAGACAAGTTCATGAGAAGAACTGTTTAGGAGAGCTTCTCTTGCCTCCGTATTCATTTAGAAAACAATCTGCAGATTGGATATTTTTCAGGGATATGCCCTTTCCCAGACAAAACAGAGACATCTGATATCTATCACTAACGGGCATAGCTGCCTCATAAGTGGGGCAATATTTAAGACTGGGATATTTGAGCTTAGCCATAAGGACTGAAGACCGGTATTGGATATATGAAAAACAAACAACCCTTCCCCCCCCGCCCCCAATGCTAACTACCTACACACTGATCTAAATATTATATAACTAAGGGATAACTGGAGGTAGCCAAGTAGGCAACAAATAGACAAACTCCTCACAGTTCCATCTCGCAGCCATGAGCCGTAGCAAGGTATTGAGGGATGTTTGGCCCTACCCTGCCCTTTATGCTCTTGCATGGGAGGGTGCAAGGGTACTCAGGGCGCACACATGACCCCCACAGACACTGCTAGCCAAAAGATTGCGATCTGAAGTGCATGGAGTACGTATGCAACTGGGGAAGAATACATATAAACAATCTGAAGAACTACTGATGGTCTAAATATTGAAGCCGGTGTTTGAGGCTTTCAATTGTGCTTTTACTCAATTAGGTTGGCTTTTACTCTTTATTAAAAAAGCTAAGTTTGGAAAACGAAACAGGTAGTTCATCTCTAATAATAAAATATGAAAGTAAAACACCATTTTTCAGCTGCTGATAAGCACTAATAAAAGCCCTAATTGGCTACTAGTTTTAATTTTGAAACCTGGGCTGGGGGGAGGAGCAGAGCATCAAGAGAATTCCTAAAACCTTTTAAAAGTAAACACACACACACACACACCATAATTAGCAAGGTACCCCAAATGTAAGACATTGGCTTGTAATTATAGCTAGAAGTTCTAGTGCCAAAATTGCAAGAGCAAAAAGGTGCATTTCTTTATGAAACAATGGTTATAAATAATTGAAAAAGGCTTTTAAAAATATATGCATAGAAGCAGAACGTCAGATAAAGAGGACATGAAGTTATTTACTCAGTGGTGTTTGGTGGAGCTAGGGAGCAGTTTTCCTCTGCATACAAAGGAGTCTGATGAAGCAAACCTCTCTCATCCATCTGTGATTATTTGTAATGATTTCCAGGGTCAGTTGTGCTATTAATAAATATTTTCTCTCTACACCTCAGTAGTATAACTGAGAAAGAAAGTATATAAAGCTAGGAATTCTGGGTTATATGTGACAGTGAAGGAAGGCAGTGGGTTGAATAGCTCAGATCCTAAGGTTGGCTGAAGAAAAGCAAAGGTGATGGAGTGAATTTGATCTGGAAAATAATTGATAAAATTATGTAGGGTTAATAATGACATTAAAAATATAGGGAAGGGTTAAGACAAAAAACAGTAGACAGGCAAGGAAATTAAAAAAAAAAATACATGATTTAAGAAACTATAAAGAGTAAATAGGCAAGGGGTTAAAAAGAAAAAAAGTTAAGTGCATTTAACATTACCTCAAACATTCTGCTTGACTGTTGCCCTTCTATTCCCTCTCAAATTAAATCTCAATCAGTGTACAATACACAGGCACAGCAGTGCCCATGCATTGTACATTGCAAGGTTAAGGCCTCACACTACAAGTTTTTCATGGCATGGGCCATATCACCCTATATCAGGGGTCGGCAACCTGTGGCACGCGTGCCAAAGGCGGCACATGGGCTGATTTTTAGAGGCACGCTGCTGCCAGCCGGAGTCCCGGCTGCCAGCCCCTTGCCGGCCTGGATGGACGGAACCTGGGATGAGCCGCTCAGCCCACTGCCGGCCTGGGGTTCCGTCTGCCGCCTGTGCTGCCGGTCTGCCACGCGAAACCTTTTACTGG